AGTGTGGAGGGTTCTGTTCCCTTTTTTTTTTTTTTTTTGCCCCTAGTGAAATCAAATCCGTGCAGGTGGATCCACACACTAAAACAACTCTCCTATATGCATATACCTCTCCTTTACCATAGCACGAAGTTAATATCACATAGAAATGTCCAAAGCAGATGAAAATTCTTACGAACAGAGTGAAGAACCGGAGGAGGAGAGTCTGAGGGGGGAAGATCCCCCCCAGAAGAATAGAGGCAGCTCGGTGGGTTCAGAACATTCAGAGCATTCAGAATATTCAGAATATTCAGAAGATGATAATGGGGGGAAAATCGAAGAAGGAGATCTGGAAGGGGAAGACGAAGAAGAGGATTTTGATGAGTTGGATGAGGCGGAAGAAGACGGAATGAACGAGAGAAATGAGGAAAATGAAAAAATGGAAGAAGACATCTTCAACGAAAATAATTTATTACATGCGATAAAAACGAGAGAAGTGTTAGAGCAGGAAATTTTGGTGCTCTTTAGTAATATGCTAAAAAAAGAGGTCGTGTTAAATAAGGATCTGAAGAGTACAAGTCGGGAAGAAGAGGTGTCGGCATACAAAGGAGATCATGTGGATAATGAACACACACTGGACAGAAATGAAAAAAAGGGAGATGCAAACAAAAAAAAAGAAACAGAAAAAAAATCAAATTTGAAGATAAAAAATAAAGACCTCTACAATTTTATATACAGCAAGATGAACTTAAGTGCTAGGGAAGGAACGGAGAAGAAGAGGGAAGATAAAGGTGTGGAGGGCACGTTTGAGGAGTCTACTTTCTCGAGAAGAAAAAAGCACGGAGGTGGTGGCAGTGGTAGTAGCAGCCGCAGCAGTAGTAGCAATCGCAGCGGAAAAGGTAGAGAATTGGAAAAAAGTACCCACCTTAGAATAATTAGCGACATCCATCAAGCAGAAAAGGAACACTACATCCTCGACAACAACGTGGTGAATATACTCAACGACATTAACACCTACCTGAGAAGGGAAAGAGAGTACCTGAATCGAAAGTTCGGAAGTCATGTGGACTCCACCTTCAAAAACCCAATGTATGTAACTCTATATATATATAATAATCAAATTTTGAAGGACATCATTTTACAAATGATTAACATTGTTAAAAATGAATTCGATAGCTCCATATATAAAGATATGGATGAGACGATGCTAGCGAGAAATATTTTCATTTTAATTAATCATTTGACTTCTCGACCTAGCAAGGAGTGGTTCGAATACTGGAACAAACACATGCCCACGTTTAATAACAAGAGGAGCGAATTTAATGTATACAATTATTTACAAATAGAAAAAAACGAAAGGAAAGTATTTTCAGGGGTCCTCAAAAATGATATTTACTTCAAGGAGTTGCAGAAACGATCCAACATCATTGAGCAGTATCAGAATGGATTACAAAGTTTGAAGTGTCTTTTGTCTAGTAGAAATTTCCTTACGCTCTTAAATGAGTTTAGGTACAATTGCCAACTCTTCATTGATGCTGATTATCGGGGCATTGAGGAGAATGAAAAGGTTCTCGAGATGCAGCGCAAGGATGCAGAACTGATTGAGGAGAAGGGCCGCCTCAAGGAGGAACTGCAGTTCTGTCGGGACCGCCTCAGGGGTGGCACTAGTGATGATGGTGAAGAAGACGCTAGCGATGGGGGAGAAGAAGTTGTTGGTGGTGAAGAAGCTGATGGGGATGGGGGAGAAGACGCCGATGGGGAGGGTACCGACAAACCCAGGACCAACAAACTCCTGCGCAACAAAATCACCAACCTGAAGAGGCGAATAGACGAAATCAACGAAGAACTACTCGAAGTGGCTAACTTCTTCCTAGAGGACAAGAAGAAGCGAGAGAGGCTGGTGCACGAGTACAGGGAGAATGTCTACCTGGTGCGAAGCATACTCACCCAGGTCCTCGGTATTAGGAACCCTAGGAGAAGCAACGCCATCAACTCAAGCAATGTACATTACGTCATTTTGCAAAACGTACTGGATAGCCACAGCGCCCTCACTTTAATCATAGATGAAATGAGGCATCTGTTCGACAGGGAGTTGAAGAAGTACGACAACGAGAAGAACATTCACATCCCCTACTTGAGGCAGAACACGATGAAGGACATATGGGACTACGTGAGGCTCTTCTACAACGTCGTGTGTTATATCGACCCGATAGACTTGGTCAGGTCGCTCACGCACCAAGCGCCGGCGCGCCGTGCAGGGGGTGCTAAAATTGGTGATAAAAATGGTGCTAAAAGTGGTGGTAAAATTGGCGGTACAAATGGTGGTAAAATTGGTGATAAAATTGGTGGTAGAAATGGCGGTGGAATGGGAGCAGGAAGCGGCCGCAGGAACAGCGCAGCAAAGCGAGCCAGCCTGCTGAACCCGAGGAAGAACAACCAAATGATAATGCACCTGTCCAGGATAAACCCACTGCTAGCGAAATCCAAAGTCAGAAAGCCAAATGAAGAAAAACATATGAAAAAAAAAAAAAAAAAATTCATAGAAAGAAAAAATTTAATAGACCATTACGAGAATTTCTCCTTCGAAGATTTATCCTTTGACATATTCGAAGAGAAGAAGGGACTGGGTGGGTCTTTCCTCAAGGGGAACATCCTGGACACATTTGACTACAGCAACTTGTACCGAGTGCAAGAGTTCTTAAACAACATCATAGGAATAAATGAAGAGTTCGAAAATGTGTATGAAGGGAATAGTCACGACGGGATGGGATACGGGGATGATGACGGCTTCAATTATTCACTCAAAGTTTTTCTAAATGTATGCATTAAGGATCTCAGGAGGTGTATAGTCGAGTACTACAACCATCAGTGGGACATCAAAATTATTCTAAATATACATGCTTGGATTGTTACTTATTACACAAATTTTTATATTTACGAGAATAAAAAGCGATTGAATAATAGCCGAATGGGAAAAGGGACATCGTTTAAACATTCAACAGCTAGCCATTTTTATAATGGACAAGAAGAACTTATAAAAGAAGGAAAAGAAAAGGAAGACGAAAATTCTCTTTTCATATCTAGAATTCAAATGGTTCTAGGAATGCAAGCATATATAGGAGATAATAGTATTCACTCAGAATTTCTGTGTGATACTTTTCAAAGATTAATAAGGGAAGAAAAAATGAAAAAAAATAGTAGCAAAATTATTTTATGTTGTTTGAGATGCTTACATGCAGATCTGAGTCTACTAGATTTACATGCTTTGTCCACTGATGATAATGTGAAATCTATTTGTAAATCTTCTTTAGATAATTTTTTGAAGAGAAATATTCTAAATAGCTTAAGTTGGATTTTAAAAAATTTCAAGCTCATGAGTCATGACAGAAGCATTTTCACCTACGCTCTCAAATGCGCTCTGATGATAATAGAGCTGCTCGAAAAGTTAGGTGGAAGTACATACATCCTCAAGGGGGGAAATAAAATATACGACGAGGATGAGGAGGAAGAAGACGAAGTGTACAATGAAAATGCAAGTGATGACCAGTATGGAGACGCCACGAAAAATGGAGGAAGAAATGCCAAAAAAGGACACAACACAAGTAGGGATTACGATACAGAAGCAATTGAAAGAGTTAGTGTGATGGATCTGATAGAAGAAATTTATAGCGGAAAAATTGTTAATACATGCATGCACATTATTGAAGAGTACAAAAGGAATAGCATACAAATCAATCATCTAATCATTACCTACTTTGAATTTTTACTCAAATTTAAAAACAACGAGTATAACTTTTTAATTTTTTTCGACATGAAATATTTTATTATTTTCATCAATGTTATAAATGATCAGGAATCCTACACGAACCCTAGGTACCACTGGATTGCTTCCTTCTTTGAAAATATAATAGCTTGCTTCTTTAAACTATGGAGTAGTAATTATTTCTTACCCGTCGAGCTATTTTTTAGTAAAGCCATCAACAGAAACCTTTTTAGTCTCTTAAGTGAAAAATATATGCTGTCCATTTTTAGTAACTACAGTGAAGGGAATGACTTTTTCATTTTTGAAGAACTCAACAAAGGGATGAACATAAATGATATTTTTATTGAATTGAATAGCCGAAAGAGATTAGAAGCTTTGGAGTGGTCAGCTGAAGATATAGAAAGTTTGAAGATTTACTTTAAGCAATTTAAACACATGCATAACTTTTTGCCATTCATTAGCGAAATGTTAAGCAAATCACCAAGCAGCGTCAAAAACCAACTTATTTTTCTCAACTACATGGACCGCAGGGGGAATGTCATAGAAGACGATGTGGACTACGACATGTCTGACTCGTCTGACTCGTCTGGCAGTTCTGGGGGGGTCACCGAAGGCGAAATGAGTGACGGGGCGGAAGGCAAAATGAATGATGAGACGGGCGACGCGACAGGGGCCGACACGGAGGCAGACACTGAAGCGGAGTCCACGCCCCACAAAAGCGCATACCGCACCGATACCCACGAAAAGAGGAAGGCAAAGCAACCCCTCCTCTACACCGTGTACAAGCTAAAAAAGCTAAACCAAGTACAGAAGAAAGAAACAAATCTCACCTCAACTCGAATCAACTGCAACGTAAATACTGTCTTAGACGAAGTCAGCTCTAATTTGAAGTCCCTCTACGAATTAAAAAAATTGTCCAAAAATAAAATTTTCACCTATAGGGCTCTTCTATTTGATATTCCACTTAGCATTTCATCGGAGCTCCTCGAACATAGCAGTTTTAAAAAGCTACTCAGCTTGATTGGGTTCTTGTATAAAGAAAACAGCGATGAGTGGGTTCTAAATGAACACTTAGATGTAGACATTTTTAGAAGCATTGTTGAAAAGTGTGAGGAGTTGTTTCCCTTGTCGTTGGAGGAACTGCGGAACAGGCTGCGCGCCCCTGAAAGGAACAAGGTCTCCCAGGGGGACCATCTCACTCATGATGAGGAAGGGAGTGGCAAGGAGGATGAGGAGAAACAGCAGCGCCACCAGGATGATAATAAAGATGCAACGATTCATCACGCATCTGAGAGTACACTAGATCAGAGTGAGGCACAGCTGCACCTGATGGAACCCCCCAAGCTTAAGGGCACATTCATCCTCCTCAAACTAATGTATGACCTGTTCATATCGAATGAAGACGATTTCAGAATTTTTTTCAACGACCTGGTAAATATGATTAGAGACAAATGTAGTTCCATTTTCCAGAGCATTAGAACTGAAGAGGACACAACTGAGGGGAAGAATCTCTTTTACACAGAAAATGACACATCTGCCCCGATAGCTAGCCAAAAAAATGATTCCAATTTAGACAATTACACAATTTTTCTAGAACCCAAAAATAGACAGGTTCTGAGAAGTGCTCAGAAGAAACAAGTCCTTTCAGAGTTGCTACAATATCTATGGGTGTACATCTCCAAGTCGGAACAACTCATTATTTCCAAGCACATAAAAGAAAAAAATTTTTCTGAACGGTTCAGAGTGATTAACAACTACAAGACTTTAGGAGTAATTGAAATTGAAAATATCATACGTCAGAAGCAATCTGAAATAGACGAGAAGAAGAAACAAAAGAAGGAGACTAAACCAACGTCACAACAGAAATTTTTTTTTATAAAGTGTGTTTGTGAGTATTTGAACCTAGTGTATGTTCCTGCCGATATGGGTCCCATCAACACTGGTCGGAACTGCCCCCTGAATGAGACGTACTTCGGGGGAGACAAACTCCTCACCTGCATTTACGAGAAGCTGAATTCGTGGAATGCCAAGCGGAGCAAAAAAAATGACGAAGCGCAGTGCTTCTCCTTAGATGCTATGGATTTGCTACGCTACATCGTCAAGCCGGGGGAGGTCACAACCGCGGTGCCACCTCCCCCCCCTCAGAGCGTTGACCAGGATGCGTTCCTCCCAATAGTGAACAATATTTGTGCCGCTCTGAAAGCCTCGGAGGAGGAAGAAGAACAGGGGATGCTAAAATGGTACCCCCAGCAGGTGCAGAGGGAGTGGCTGAAAATTATGCTCAAGTTATTTTATAACGTGCTATACGACAGTGAGTACAATACAGTCGGGAAACTCTTCCTCGAGTACAGAAACATTAAGGACATCCTCAAGGACAAGTCATTGGACTTTTTGTCTCCCAAAGAGGAGACGCCACAAGTAGAGGTCGGCATGTCCATCAACACAATGACAAGTACAAACCCGCTCTACAGTGGCATAGAGGAGATTCAGAAGGAAGACCCATCACAACCATTCAGTGAAGAAATGTATTTGGTTAGGGCGCAGTACGACGGGCACATCGTCGGGGTCCCAGTGAAGAGAACCGCACGGGCTGGGGGTGCAGCCGTAAATCAGAACAAAAATAAAGCGGCCCAGAGTAAACCACACGCAGCCCCTAGTACACCTGATGCAGGCCCTAGTAAACCTGCCCCAGATCAGAGCAGAAACGACGCATCCCAGAGCGAAGCGCACTCCGGGGAAATTCTCCTCAACCCCATGGCCCCCCATCATAAAAGAAAGCTCGGTGAAATACACGTAGAGGACTATTCGGAATTCTTTAAAAAGAGGAAGCTGGAAAATGCATACATCAACATGTACAAGAAGAATCGCAAGAGCATCATCGACTCGTTGCTTAAGAACAGTAACATCGCCCAGTACAACGAGAGTGACATTATCAATCGGGTCAAGCAAGTTTTCATAAAGGCTCGCCAGATGGCTTCCACGGGGGTAAAGGCCAAGAGTAGTCTGCATGCACATATTGCGTGTGTGTGTACATAGATTAGGGCGTCCTTATGAGGTGTCGCACTTACCCAGTGTAACTCATCTTGCCCTACTGTTACTACTTCCCGCCCCCCCTTTTTTAAAAAAAAGGACAAAGCGAAAGAGCGAGAAGAGAACCTTCGGAAGGGGTTACCCTCCCCCATGCATTCGCTCTTTTTGTGACCGCCCATGTATATCCCATTTTCCCCCTCCCTGCAGGATCTTCGCAACCGATGGAAATCTCGCGAGGATGTGAAGAGGATACTCCTGCTGTGAGAGAAGCGCCGTGGGGAAGAAGTAACAACACTTCTCCCCAATTAACACTTTTTTTTTTTTTTTTTTTTTCTTCACTCAAAATGGTAAACTTAACATTCGCGTTTTAAAAGTTTCTTTTCTACTTAAATATGGCTTGTAACACAAAAGTGATTAAAAAAAAAAAAAAAAAAAAAAAAAAAAAATACACCACATG